ATGGTTCCGTTTCCAGCCGCCATTGCGATGCTCAAGAAGCGGCTCTGTGTTATTCTCCATGACTATACGATAATATGGTCAAAGATGTTGATGATCAACCATATAGTTAGTTGGAGTAGAAGGTTGTAGCTAGCTAGCTAATAAGTACTCATTTTGTACCTAAAAGTTGTTTGTACCAACGCAACGTTTTTTTCTTCTTTTGGACTACTAGTACGTGATATAAAAGAATTGGCATCTACCATTAATGATGTCAAATTCTGTTTGCAAAACGATCTGCAAATTGGGCTGTTCACATTGTTGTTCGGGCGGCTGTTTCTATGACAGATTGTGAGGAGTGGTTTGATGTGTCACCAACTTTTCTTGTAACTTGTCTCGATGACGATTCAATGCATTAAGTTTATTTTTCTAAAAAAAAAAAAAAAAGTTGTTTGTACCTACGAGACCCTAGCCTCATATTCCGACCTACTTTACAAAATGATGAAACTCCGGCCACACTGATATGAGGGGTGTTTGATAAATAGATGTTAGCTAATTGGATTAGTGAGTTTGACTAGTTGATAGCATGCATTAGCTGATTGTAAAAAGAAATTTGGTAAATTAGTTGTTAGCCGATAAATGCTTTGAATAGTTTTTTGAATTTTTGGTGTTTTAAAACAATAATTAATTAAACACTCATATTGAATGTTTAATCAAGTCAAACAAGCTAAAATATATACGAGAATTCGAGAAGGGAAAATGTGAGATGGTCCGTTCTTAACCACCAAAAAGATGAATAAATAAATTTAAAAAAAAAAAAAACAGTAGAAAAATTTTGGTAATTAAAGGAACATTGGATGGTCCCATAATTAATCCCAAATATGTACTCCGGACGTAGCATGTATAAGTTTAATACTTCATATTTACTCTCATTATATATTTTCATAGTACATGAAATTGTATTTAACTATTTATTATGAGTTAATTTTGAACTTAACTTGTCAAAATAAAAAGTAATCTAGGATTGTACTTAATGTTAGGGTTTAGGAAACTCAATCTTTGATACAATGAGTTGATGTAAAACTCGTAACAACCTTAATTATAAAATCTCATCGGATCCTTTTAATTATTGTCACCAAACTCATCATTTCAAAGCTCACCATTCACCAACTAACAGCCATCTTAAAGATGTCTTTAGGTCTAGAAAATCTCATGTGTCTCTTCTTAGAAAATATCAAAAACATGTTTTTTGAAGTTTTCTATTTTAGGCATGTAGACTAATTTAAAATGTGACAATTGTTATCATGTTTGATATAATGTGTATCAATGTATAAAATTTATCTAATTATTTTAATGAAGAAAAAAAAATCATCAAGAAAGTGGTTTTATCCTACAAGTAGTTTAGTAGTATCTACTTCTAAAATCGTTAATTTTTGCACATAATAAAGAGTCAATCCAAATCAAACCAAACATTATATCATAAACAACGGTCCACCTTGTAAAGTGGATCACTGACTTAAGGTACATACTCCCAAGCCCTATATATGTTGTTCCATGTAGTGTTCGTCTGAGAGATTCGGCCAGACTTTGGCGAAAAGTGAAGGAGAAGAAATTATTACTTACACAGCTGAATTTGATAACGTAGTTGGAGAATACATCTTAATCTGCGGGGCTACATTCATAAACTTTTTCACTCACGATCAATCTGCGGTTTTTACAATTACAATGTTCAATGAATTATAAAACTAGGTCTATCACCTATCTAAACATTAACCTCATAAAACAATTCTATGAAAAAGTTTACAAGTACAGTTTGAACTAAGCTATAACCAACCTAGATTTTTAACACAGCTTGTACTCAATAACGTGGATCGAAGTCGAATTCTCCGAATAATACATCAATCTTTCCCAATTTTAAAATTTCCTGACAGCGCCTTCCAAATAATCCCGTGTAGCACCTTCCAGAATATTATTACTCTTTTTTTTCGATTTGGAAACTTAACTATCTTAATTATAAAGACGTCTATTTATAATGTTGAATTTCTCTTTTCTCTCCTTGATTTATGGCATCACTATCACCACGTACTCATCTTCCACACAATTAGCATTTTCCACTTTCTTCATATTATCACACACATACACATGCCATGCTTCCATTTCCTTGATTACACCACACATGCAAACACGTACATATGCATACACTAACACTACAAAGTCTACAAGTTGATTCTTTCAAGCATGATCACATCTTTGTTTGATTTAATGCCAACAACCAAGTACAAACTCATACATACATACATATATATACATACATACATATATATATATATATATATATATATATATATATATATATATATATATATATATATATATATATATGGTACTATAATATGAACAGATACTACAATGTAATAGAACCAGTAGCATTCAAAAAAAAATATATGGTACTATACTAACTAGGGGTAGGTGTCGGTTCTGTTAGATGATACCCGAATTTTATTTCGGATATCTAAAAATTCCAGGTGATGTTTTTTACATCGATATCCGAACCAAATTTAATTCGGATATGTTCAGTTTGGGTGAAATTATTTCGGATTAGTTTGAATATATCCAAATTCTTATTTTTATTAATTTTGAATTTTTTAAATTATTTTATTATTTTATTATTTATATCTTTTTCATATACTATATATCAAACTAAAAATAAGACAAATACTAATAATTAACCAATAACTTTTTAAAAATTAATATATTAGCCGTTTCAAGTGGTGAGTTGGGTCGTGGATTCAATTCTCTGCTGAAGTGGAGGCGTCTCGGCCTTTAGATTGGAGGGCACGACGACGTCAGGCTGGGTGCAACCCTTTCCTCTTTTTCATTTTTAGAGCTCAGCGGCTCAATTAGTTTATTGGGTTTCAATTCATTTCCCAATGGCCTCAGTTTTTAACATACAATTGCTTTAAAAAAAAAAAAAAAAACTACTTAGTTTTTGAATGTAAATGTTGATCGTGGCTGCAATCAAAGATTACGACGGATTGTATAATAACATCATTTACTTTATATGTAAATATCAGGGTTGTAAAAATCTGTCTAGGCGCCCGCCTAGACCCCTCCTAGGCGCTAGGCGCCTCTAGACCGTGGCGATTTCCCCTTAGGCGCCCGCCTAGGTTACCGACCGCCTAGATGTCCGCCTAGCGCCTAACTCGGCCGATTTGGCCGCCTAGCGTCTAAGTTAGTCGAGTTAACCCGTCCATTTCGGTCGAGTTAACCCGATCGGCTCAGCCTATTTTTTTAATTATATGTGTGTGTGTGCGCGCGCATATATATATATATATATATATATATATATATATATATATATATATATATATATATATATATATATATATATATATATATATATATATATATATATATACTCGTAGACTAGTTTGATACTTTGAATCTTTGGATGATTGAAGTATTTGAGTATTTCATATTTGAGTATTTTAATTTTTATTATTGGTTTAATGTTTTTTAATGAAAATCATTGTTTTGATGTTATGACTTGAATTATCATTAATTCATTTATTTGGATGTGTTATTCGATCAAAAGTTGAAAACAACCCCATTAAAATTGTCAAATTGGAAGTCTACCACTGTTTTTTTGGTGCCCGCCTAGGCGCCGCCTAGACCGCTTAGGCGCTGTCCGGGCGCCCGACTAGCGCCTACTGCAACCATGGTAAATATATAAATAATTCATAAATTACAACATTATAAAGGGAAAATGGCACTTTTTCCCCCTAAGTTATATACATATAGCACTTTTCCCCCCTGAATTATTCAAGTGGCTGTTTTTCCCCCTGAAATGTTAAATGGACATATTTACCCTTAAAATAAATATTTCATTTATTTTTTTTCTCTAACAAATTATGACCACAAGTTGGTTCAAACCAAACAGACACTATATAAATCAAACCGAAATATTCTAATTACAATTTAGAATCGAAACCCGATATTTAGATTTTATTAAAATCGTGAACCGGGACGGCCGGTTCATGGTCCAAACTGAAAAAAATAAAATACATTTATTGTTGAATTTAGACTATTTTAAAATAAAAAATTAAAATTTTAAAAATAAAGACGGTTCAAAATCGCTAACCGGATCTAGAACCGCCGGTTCACGGTTCAGGATCCAGTTTTTTCGATTCATAATTTTAATGAATTGAAATTAAAATATTGGGTTCTGGATCTGAATCATAACCGGAAACTTTTAATTCGATTGCTATAGTGTCTGGTTCAATTCGAATCGAACCGTGGTCATCCCTATGTATACGCAATAATTTATTGAAAAGGAAAAATAAATAAAATGTTTACTTTAAGGGTAGAAATGTCAATAAAATATATTAGGGGGAAAAACCGCCACTTTTAAAATAATTGAGTGGGCTAATGTGCTTACATGAATAATTCAAGGAGAAAAAGTGCTATAAGTATATAACTCAGGGGGAAAAAGTGTCATTTTTCCCATTATAAATTATTCTTTGATTGATGGAAAACTTTTAGCACATATTTGTAAATGTGTTTCAGGTGGAACTCGTATTATGACCTTAACCAGTAAAAATATCTTTAAATTTTATAATTGATTGACTTAAATTAAAAAGGCCCAATAAACAACTCTAGTAGGGAGTTGAAACTTATAAGAAAATAGAATTGACTCAAATTTTTAATACATTATTTGAGTACTAAAAGTATATTATATGACCAACACTTTGCCAGTTAATTGACTCACCCCGGTGCAAATGTGGATTATTCTGAGTACGGTACAAGTTTAAAGGTACCTCCTATATTTAGGATATGCTCAAGAAATCTCGTGATCTAACAAAAAATAATAATAACGTACCTTCATAATCCACATTGTAATGTGAACATGATCCACAATGTAATTTGCCAAATCAAACTCCCACCTTACTACTGGAAACAAGTCTCAAGTGAATCTTCTCATCCACTAAACAAATGCCCTGAGTTGTGATAAAGTTACTCCCCATAGTAAAAACATTACTAGACATGGCCGCGTTATCACTAATTGAGTCATAAGACTCGTTAATTAAACAACCAATCAATCACAACACAACACGTTACGTCACAAATGATTTTTAATACAATGCATTTCAAATCATAGACAAATCTTATCATCAAGCACATTATGTTCAGATGACATGTAGTGATCTTTTTCATATGGGAGGTCATGAGATCGAACTTCAGTGGAGGCGTTACGTTGTTGACATTTGAGAAGTCTATGGATCCAGGTAGATTATTTCAGCCTGCACGGAGGCACGCCGGTAGCGGAGCAGTTCTTTGAGCATCTCCCATGCTCCATCAATGGATGCAGGCTTGATAGTCATGCTCTCAAGAACTGGTGAACTCCCAAGCAGAAACTTGATGAAGTTTAGCTCTTGTCTGAAACCCGAGATGGCAGAAACCTTCACAATGCGAAGCCGGTCAAACTTGAAATTCTGATACTTCTCTTCCATGATATTCGCAATTGTTCTCATAGTATTCTGTTCTTCTGTGCGAGCCTGTGAACAAATTGGAGAATTTTCCTGTTATTCAACAGGCCATGGTTTTGAAAAGCAAATTCTCAAATTATCAAAAACCAAATTCAAAGCACTAATAATAAAAATAGAATATAATACCACGTATTAGCAAAAAAAATAATGCAGAATTGATATGTTTGGCAAGGAATCTTACCCCAATTTCAAGCTCCCGTAGGTTAGGGGAACTTCTGAGAAGGCACAGAGCTGCTAGACACTCATCCAAGTTATTGAAATTAATGCGTAGTGAAAGATAACTAAGCTCGTTGCAAGGAGTAGATAGTTTTCCTGGCACCATACCGGCAGCCAAATACTGCAAAAGAAGCAAATATGAAAAATGTAAACCGAAACAATAACATTAAAAGATGAACTGCTCGTGTTCCTTTGTTGTTGAATCACAAGAAACCAATAGCAGTAATGGTGTTGTGAGTTGGTGAAATTTAATGAAAAAAAGTGAACTAGAAAAAATCTAGAGAAAAGAATATGAAAGAATACCTTCAGGAAGTAGCTCTGCACTTCAAGCCTTTGTATTCGAGGCAAATTAGCAAAGAACTTGACCAAATTTCCGCTACTGGCAAGACCTAGATTTTGGTTATCATATCCAGCATATAAACCGATTGAGACGGTGGCGAGATGGGAGGTATCCTTGAAACTCAAATCATCGAAAACACCCCCAACGTCAAAGAACAGGAGATTAGGAGCATGGATTTTAAGACGAGTAAAACCATCAAAGTTCATCAATGTCAATCGCTCAAGTAAAGAGCAACTAGAGATGAGATGCTCAAATGCTTCTTGTTCCATGGTAATGTGCTGAAGATCAAGGCTCTTCAAGCATTTAAAGCCACGAAACGTCCTGGGTGGTATTAAAAGACAATTGAACAGTTCCAAGTGTACCAATTTTTGGCAGAGATAGATAGCAGAAGGGAGTCTATAGCGATGACCCTTCCAAATTTCAAGTATAAATTCCTTGATAGAACCTCTCGAAAGAAACAGAATCCATTTATCAATATCCAGGACATTTTGAAGGTCTCGGTGAGAGAGCTTGAATTTGTGTATGGGTCCCATATGAAGCAACAAGACATGGTCAACAATGCTCACTATCTTGCTTTTTATCACAGCATGATCTTGGGCCGAAACTGAAAGACCGTCAGTGTCAAATATAAGGTTTGGAAGAGTAACCCATTTGTATCTCCATTTACTCGATAAGACACTTGTCCTGACCGCATCCTTGAGTGACATGTGTGACAATATTTTTTCAATAATCTGTGCCGGTAAGTTGCTGATCCTGTCAAGGTCCACTTCAATCTTGGAGGGCTCATTACAGGGTTCCCTTTGCTTCTGCAATGTACAAAGATATACATCGTGACTTGGACAGTTGTTCCGTAAACATGTTCAGAAACCAGAATAATCAGCATGAGAAAATGAAATAATCTTGAACGCTAAAAGTCAAACTATACCATCTATTTACTTTTAACCAGTGAGTTTTGAATGGCTCAGAATAAGCTAGAAAAGGGAGAGATTCATAACCAATCAAAGCTTTATCCTCTATGCATTTTAAGACCTAACCCAAAGTTCTTTAGATTCAGATTATACCTTAAACAACATCCATGTAGTTACCTAAATATCAAATCACCTACAATTTAAGGATAAAATCAGCTATGATTTTGACTAAAACTTTTCCTGTAGTATCACTATTCTTATTATATAAAATCAGTCCAAACGGGTGAATCTCTGAAAAGTATAAACCAGAAAAGACAACATACAAAATTGCAGGAGAAAAAGTTGAGACAAAACTACTCCAACGGTCTACTCATCATAGCTTACATTTCGGAAGTGACAACGTAAGTTTGAACTTACAATAAGGTGAGTAACAAAGCCATGACGTACCATTGTGTGTTGTCAAAAGGAGTCTGAACTCCAAAGCACTTCACTTCAAAAAAGGTTACAGGTAAAAGCTTCTTTCACAATTTTGCTTGAAAATCTGTCAGCATAAAAGTTAATTATCACATCCACACAGTTGATCAAGCGGTAAGCCTTAAAGGTACAATTGCATAGCATAGAAGCATCATAGCAAACAAACTACAACACTTGCAAATTTTTTGTTCTGTTCTTTTCAAGAAGGAATAGTTTCTTCAACATCCAAACAGAAAGGTCAATCTCTCTAGAGATTTAAGAGCATAAGACATAAAGATAGTGTTAATTTTTTACTCGATGTCTAATAGAACAAATAGTAAGAATAAACTGAGCAGGAAAAGAAAGTAGAGAACGCAGATTTTGTTTGTGCAATTCAAAGAAATTCTCCTATGTATATGGGGCACACGTTCAAGTGATACCCAATCCACTAAGCAATATAAGTGTACACGAGACTCGGTGATAATTTGTATGCAACAAGGACTCCCTCCTATTGCCACCGATCTTCAAGCACCACTCCTGTGGATTGGTGAACACGAGCTCCCCTCGTGCCTCAAGGATGTTAAACGTGCTTCAATGCCCTCAAAGAATGATGTTGAATTATAAGCACAAGAGCTCTCAAGAACGCAAGTTAAACCTTCAAGGGATGTTTGAGAATTGAGACTTGGGGCGAATTTCTACCATGGAGTTAATTCCTCTCCTAAGTCTAATAGCAATAAGATTAGTAATCCTTTTCTTCCTAGAATAGAAAAATCTTTCTTCAACTTCCCCAGATTCCTTAGGAAATCAACAACCTTATCTCCAAGCATCCAAATTAATTACCAAGCTTCTAGGACTATTCTTGTACCAAACTCAATTTCCAAGAAACAATTAATATAATTCGGAAATTACGAATACAAACTACTCGTTGCCAAAAATATGCCAACACAACAAATGATAAAATCAATACACTAAACAATAGGTTCTCAAAATGGCTAAGCCAGAATATGTCAATATGGTAGGCTCACGCAACCATGGCCTAGCACATTTTACATCCGACAAGAGGCAATTGGTAATAGAAATTTTATCAAAAACTATTTGCAACAGAGATCAGATTCCATCAAGTTCCTAAATCAAGAGCACACAAACTAAATATCCACATTACAACTCAAACGAGTACTTCAGAGTTCAGACATAACTGGAGCAACTTGATTGCCACATTCAATAAGCCAGACACCTGAGCCGACTAATCATTGTATGATTAAGCCAAATGTGAAACCCCCTCCCACTGGGAATGAGGGAGGTTATTTGTGCATATGCTAGACTAATTATGTTTGGAGACTTCTGCCAGTAAATGACCTAAGGAAACATAAAGAAACTGCCTATCATAACCTAGTAATCGATAACTCTCTGAATGTTACCTCCTTTACACTTCTTCTAAGCAATCATCATGTATATAATAGCATGATCGTAATCACCGACATTAATTTCAAAAAGGGAAACAAAATTCTTTTTATTTTCAAGCATATTTCTCAACCACGTAATCACAACGAGAACAGCATAATCCCTCGACGGGATAGCTGGAAATACAATTCAAAGAAATTCTGGAACTCATAGAAACACCGAAATGATGTTGCAAGTAGAGAAGGGAAGAGAGAAAAGCTAAAAGACGCACAATGGTGAAGAGTGAGCTATCTGCGCCGGAAAAAATGGAGAACTAACTCCCCTGCCACCGGAGCTTTATCTGGTGAAGAGTTTGAGGGGTAGCATTGCCATTTGCCTAGCAAGATTCTAGAGGAGAACACTCCGGAAGTTGAAGAGCCAGTCGGAGCATGGGCCAAATGGGCCTTCTCGCCATTGCTGGTCAAAACCAGTGTTCTTTAATGGGCTAATTTGTTGGTAAGTCAACAATTTCGCTTTTCATTTCTTAATTAAAAATTCAAGTAAGGTGAAACTCTATATCCATAAGTAATTTATTTGTTTGGTACATATATAATATTTTTGTTTAATCTAATTTCCCATGTTTTGTGGAAAAAGGTTGTTTGTTTATATAAGAGTATGGAGTTTTAATCAATACAAAACAAACTTGCCATCATTATTGACTGAATATTGTGTATTAGCTTAGCTTGTATGTACCTACTACTTATTCTAAACTATATATAATAACAACTTTTACACACTAAAATATAAATGTTTAACAATATACTAATGGAAGATTAATAATATATACCAAGAAAATATAAGAGTATAGTGACCAATTTATACTAATATGTAATAAAATTTATATATTGGGGCATAGCAAGGGCTATATATATAATGCAATTTGAATTTGTATGGTTCTTAGATTTGTTATTTAGTCTCATCATTAGTACAAATACTATATGTCTATATGTATGGACTAAGATAATACTAACTCGAAACTATTAAATTAAACTTCTATTTTTTCATAATATCAAATGAATTTTATATAGGAACTTTTAAATTATTGTAAGACATCTATGGCTGGTTTCTTGGCATCTTAGTATGTTGCAAACTTAAGACTTATATTTCTTTTAAAGGTCTTTTACAGTTTTCTATAAAGATTCATACCCGGCCTGGCCTCCACTAATGGCTTCCACTTCATTAATTTTGTGGTTCTATACATCACACCTTCTTCACATTATCACTATCTAGCACCTAGCGGCTTCATATCTAGTTATGGCTTCTAGAGTGACATGGACTCCAATGAAAACTACAACACTCCTAACTTTCCAAATGCTTAATTTCATAAAAGATGTGCAAATTGTGTGGTCCAAGGAATTGGCTAGCTTCTACCTACTAAGAAATAACTTAGCTTTCATATATATTATCTTAAGAAATATAGTTCCAAGTCAATATTGCTTTTTGAAAAATATTAAAAGTCCCTAGTGGTAAATATATATGCATTTTGCCATAAAATGATAAATCATTTTCAATGATCATAGCTTAATGACACCTCAAATAGTGTCCAAATTGGTGACCACCAACTTAACAAAAGAAAATAATATATCTAAACCATTTTTGTTATCATAAGTCTCCAAATTAAACCCAATTCAATACTAAATGCACCTATAATACTAAACTTATTACTCTAAACCAACTAAAATAACTCTCCAATACTATATAATTAGGTTATCGCAATTGTATTCAAATGCTCCAAAATGTAAGAAGTTAATTTTTCTTTTCCTACCTATTATATATATTACTGATGACGGGATAATAGAGATTGATTTAGACTCACTTTTAATTATTAAATTTGAATTTAAATCGCATCACATTAAAATGAAAAAAAGTAGCTAGCTAGGGATATCATACACTTATCCTCATCATATATATTTACTTTGAATGGCATCTTACCCAATTCGGACATACTAATATAATTATTTCAAAAAAGGTTGAATCATCAACCCTAAGGCCCCCATTTCTCGACCGAGCATATTCACCTAAACACATATATACTAGACTTTTACTTATTGTGTACAAAGAGCCCCTCACTTTGAGATGTCGCTCCTATATATACCGTCCCATATAGTCAACGACCATGCGGACAACATGCCAATATAATTACCATATGAATGGTTGGGTAATGGTAATTTATTCTACCACATCAATTCATGTTTCATCTGTTTATTACCTTACGGTCATTATCATCACCACCACCATCATCATCATCCATCAATTCTAATTATAAGCCCTAAAGTCTTTAATTGGAATCCTGTTATTCCTTGATAGATTTTCAATGCGTTGAAGTCCCAAAGTCAGAGACACGTCCCTTGTCACCTGAGCCACCGCCCCAAACCCACCATTGCCGGCGCCGGCGCCGGCGCTCCAGCTGTCCGGAGCTTTCAGTGAAAACCCAGTGACTGGCAGTAGTGACTTGTCACCATGATTGGGTAAGATGGAGGAGTCTAGCGTCATCGGTTGATTTTCGGAAGAAACAATAATGTTGTGTGAGGGATCTTTCTCCTCGGCAATCAATTGAGAATCTTTGGCGTTGTCGCCTTCTTCCTTGGCCTCTTGCTGGTACATTTCTTCCACCATTGGCTTCCACAACCGAACCCTAGCATTAATGAACCAGTTGGACACCTGAAAATTAATTAATTAGTTAAATCAATGGCATTAATTACTTCATTTACCCACAAATACTTTTTAATTTTCTTCCAAGTTGGACTCCTTAGTGGTCTTCTCGATTTGAATTGATCAGTACGTTATAGTTGATGATCTTACCCGACAAAAAATCAGTTGGTGCACTAGGTAAACGTCCCACTAATTTAAATTGTTCATATTTAACTCGCTCAAACTAAGAATATCAATAAGACGCTCAGAGTGAGTATCTAACTTGAAATATTATAATTACCAAGTTAATTATCGGACTAACTTAGGTTGTTGGTTTTGTACCAAAACCCTTAATTTTCTTTCCATATATGATGGCCATACATCATACAAATATATACCCTACCATCTCTGAGCCATATGTACACGTACAAAACATTCATAATAATGTCAATATGATTCAGAAATGAAATAATTGACAGAAAAAAGAAATAGAAGCTTAGGTATAGTAGCAGAAAGGACCACAACATTTAAAGGAAAAGAAAAGCAACGTCGACAATATATCAGAATTATTATTGAAGTAAGCAGACGAGACGACACACATAAAAATGGCAATGAGAAAAGTGAGAAGGAGTTATCGTTTTCGATAGATATGTGACATTGGATTCGATACAGAAATTAAAGACGACGATGTAGCAAGAAATACCTGGTTTTTTGATAAACCTGTCTGCCGTGACAACACTTGCTTGTCTGCTTCACTTGGGTACCTAATCATGCACATCCCAACCAACCAACAAACATTAAAATCTCATCACAATTCACTCCATGCTGTCATATGAAATGTTTGGTTTTTTTCAATGACCAGAAAAACTCACTGTTACTATCTGAGGGCCAGTGTACACAGAATCTGTCTACGGACTCAAATTAAGAAGGTTAATACATTACTCCTACTATGAGTCAAACTTAGCTTGTAACCTTCTGGTTACCAGGTCAATCGACAATTGTTGGAGTTGTCCGGCCACTTACCTTCTATGATTCTTCCCAAAAGGTTGAATCTCCAACTCCAAGGGTTCCCCAGACTCCAGCCCGACAGAGTATCTGGGAGGATGTAAATCATGGTAACTCAACTGAACCACAGAGGCTAGACTTTTGCTTACTGCGCACCAGGAGCGCCCCTCAGAGGTTGCTCCCACACTGCTGTTGGTGTTGGTGAGACTCGATTCTTGGTTATTCTTTCTAAATTTCACCCTTATGATCAGTTGAGCTGCCTATGCGGGTCACTTACCTTCTATGATGCGTAAATTTGGAGGCACAATGTGTTTTGTTTTAATTAAAAGTTTAAAAGACGCACGGGTTAAGGAAGTGGTCGAAGAGCCAAGCCCGCAAGGTATTGACAGAAGGTTGAGGCAAGCCTCTCTGGGGTGTCCAGAACTCAGAATCGAACATCCCCATTGCCATCTGGTGGAGAGCTTTTTGGTGGCGGAGCTTCTGGTCGATGAATCTCAGCCTGGGCGTCTCGCCTCTGGTCAACCCACGCCTCCCGCCGACGCCGTCGTCTTTCTCCCCGAGAACCTTACACGTCTCCCTCAGCTGACCCACTATTCCGTCCTTTATCCGCCGGAAATGCCTCGACATCGCCTCCTGCGCTAGCCCCGTGTACGGCGCCGCCGCTCCGTATCCCACCACCAACTCAAATGAATTTACCATTGTTTGCATCTGTTCACTGTATCTCACATATCTCGCATCTACCTGCACTTCCAAGTTCCAACCAAAAAAAAAAAAACAATTTTTTTGATAATTAATTAGTTAATTATTCATTGTCTTAACTTCTAATAATACTATGAGTTTAATTATATGGATAGGTTACAAAATCTTAGATACTACAAAAAGTTGTTAATAATAGTGATTAAATTAATTAGTTTCTTGATTACTTTTTAGATCAGAAATCACAAATTAAAGATTGCAACGTACCATAATACATAATATAATAGACACGTACTCTCTATTGAGAAATGCCCGAAAGATCATTTGACAAAACTAGTTGAATATACAGAGGAAAGTAAAAAGTTTATAATCGCAACATGATTAAGCTAAGGGTTTGAATATATTGGACAGTAAGTCTAATTTAACTTATCATTGATTAAACAAAAGTCTTATCGTCGACCCAAAAAAGAGTTTCATGTAATGCCAATATTTTGCTACTTTTGATTAAATTAACAATAATTCTACATTAGATTGGTAGAGCATGCATATGAACGATTCTAGTTAAGCAAGATTGATTAGAACGGTCCCCTACCAAGCTAATTAAGGTCCAATTCAAGAATTAACATAATAAAATCATTACCTTTTACAAGCACAAAACACTTAAATAACCTATGCATTTCCTTAATTAGAACATAAATAATTGTCATTAATTAGTGAACCTTAGCAGGCCCGCCGCCCGGCAGGCTTTCTGCAGACTAATTAATTGATTAATTAATTTTTAGTAGTTTGAGATAGAGAGAAAAAGGAAAGAGTTACATGCCTCATCAAGCATAGATAACAGCTTGATTTTCCTGTTCTGATGTTCAGACCTCACGGCGGGCGATGATGACGGCGGCGGCGGCGGCGGAGGGTCTCCGTCATGTTCATGGTCGGAATTAGGGTTTCCACTCTCATCACTGTTCATCATGTTCTTCTTGGCCCTAATTAGATTCTTCAATTTCCCTCTCCCCACGAAGCAGAATTCTTCCAGCAATCCCTGAGCGGCCTTCAAGTAGCGCGAATTGCGGAGGACGTTGACCGTTCTGGTTGACTCCGCCGCCGCCGCCACACCACCACCGTATCCGGCGACATCAACTCCTCCTGAATGTAACAGTAGCTGATCTGCACTACCAGTGATGTTGTTTGAGTAAATTCCGCCGTTTCTGGAACTCAATTCTTCTAGCTTTGCAGCTTCCATTGAAGATGATAGGGATAAAGAGAGGCCTTGCACCTCCATTACCGTCCCAATTCTGCTCGAATCGGGAGCCGGAATCCACGTGTTGTATTGGTGTAACCCTTGATCAACAAAGCTGGATTCCAGGGATGAATTGTTGCCGCCGCCGGGGAACTTTAACATGCGCAGAGACGAAGACGGGATCATTTCCGACAGCATTCCTCCGCCGGAGTCATACGTCGCCGGTGCTTCTCCGCCGACAGACGCCTCCAGAAGTTCAAACTCTTGAATTCTTATCATCTCTCCTTCCTCGGCAGTGGATCCAACAGGTATATATATATATACACACTTTCTGAACCGTACAATTAAGTGTAGCGTAAATTCAGAAACTTAGTATAAATAATTTTTTAAACAAATAAAAATTAACGATTGTTGCTGCTGCAAATGTACGGAAACTAAATTTGCAGAACCGTACCAAAAGAAAAATAAAAACCTAGTACGTACTGTAGCTTGAAGCTGGCGTTGATGATGATCACATCATCACTTAGCTTGTTGCAGCTGGCCTTGATCGATGCTGCAGATTCTGAGAAACAAGGTTTTCTGATACACCTTCAACTTCTCTAACATACAATCGATATATACATATATGTTTCGTTGAATCCGATGATATGTTCTTGAGTCTTTTAATTTGATTCTTGCAGGTGGAAGACGAGGATGATTTCTAAATCGAACAAAACAATTAAAGGATCGGAGACAACTGAGGTTACTCTCTCTCCTTCTCACTTCTCACCTTCAATCTCTACTCTCTTTCTTCTTCCACTACTTCAATTCGCTTTCACCATTTTTTGTTTGTTTTTTTTTTTTTTTCAATTTTTTAAAATTAATTCACTGACTTTGACTCATGGTTTGCCTATTTCATGTTTTTTTTTTAAAAAAAAAAAATATAGAAATAGACAATCACTATTTGAAGATCTGCACTTGTGATTGTAGTCGACAAAGAATTACAATGAGGTAAAATCTAAGTTGTTTATAGCGACTTAACCCAAGAAAACTAATAAGTGGTTTAACATGAACACTTACAACTTACCAACTTGTTAAAGTAGTTAATGGTCATTGGCAATAGTAAATGGAATAAGGTTCAAATTGGCCACTAAACGTAACATGAAAATGCAATTAGGCCACTAAACGAAAAAAAAAAAAAAAAAAAGTGCAATTAAGCCAGTGAACACTCAAAAAAGTGCAATTAGGCCACTGAACACTCCAAATGTATGCAATTTCACCGAATAATAGGTTACCATCAATTTTAGCAGGTTACCTGCTCACGTGGCAGCTGAGTTGGCATTTTTTTATAATTTTAATAATAAATTTTAAAAAATTGAAAAAAAAAAAAAAAGATGGGGCGGCCACCCCGTCGTTTTTTTTTTTAATTTTTTTTTAATTTATTACTAAAATTTATTAAAAATTATTTAAAATGCCAACTCAGTTGTCACGTAAGTAGGTAACCTGCTAAAATTGATAGTAACCTGCTATCAGGTGAAATTGCATATATTTGGAGTGTTCAGTGACCTAAGTATACTTTTTTTTTGTTCAGTGACCTAATTGCATTTTCAAGTTACGTTCAGTGGCCAATTTGAACCTTATTCCATAGTAAATTCAAGTCAATAACGTAGGTCTTTAAGCCACTAGCTAGCTAGATTGTGGACTGTGATTCGATCAGAGAATCAAAGTGATAAGATTAATTTAGTCAAATTTTGATATGATCATATCTTATTCGAGAATTCTAACTCGACTTTATTCATTATGTAGGACTCTTTTACTTGATTGAGCCAATTAATATATTTAATATATATATAATTAATATTAATATATATAATTGGTACAACAACTAGCGCGTTTAATTTATTCTTATTATTTGTATATTCCTACTAGTAAATTTAATTTGTAATTTTCAGGGGGAAATAGGACCACTGTTCCTCTGTCCACCGGAGAATGCCCAGAGGTGATGAATTTGGTTGTTCACCACTAGCTACTTTGGGAGATATACATACAACTATATATATATATATATATATATATATATATATATATATATATATATATGACATGCTATGTTTTCTGCTCATAAATTAAATTGTGAGTTTTGTGTTGTGGGGGACTACCTCAAAAAGGATCAGTTGTACGTGTCGTCCCTAGATGTTGACAAGTGACATCCAAACCAACATATTGTCTTGTCTCTCACACACACATATATATAACAAAATTTGGTCATAAGATGACATAGCTCAACTGATAAACCAACTTAAAATAAGTTCATAAATTTTACTTTACTAACAAATGTAAGGTACAAGCTAAGGTTCAAAACATTATTATAGATATTGGTGTACAAACATTTAATTAGCTAGGGCTATAAATAGGAGCAGTGAAAGTCTCTTAAGTTTAGAGTTCAAACTTATATATTTCAAAAGTTGAGAAGAAAGCTACATGCATACATTAGGTGGAAAGATTATTTTTCAAAAGTTGTATCAGCATATATTGACTTATTTTCTAAAGTTAAGACAAATTAGATAATGTATTGTTGAGCGACAACTTGGAGAGTCGAGTCTATCATTCCGTCATCGAAATGTGGCACTGACTGCTATGCATGTATACAAAAATAAAATTGTAAATTTGCTATTAATTATAACTTTTGGAATTGTGGCAAATGTTTGACGGGCAGCGGCTTAGAGAGGCGAGTCTAGTATTCTGCCATCAAAACGTGACATTAGTATAAAGAAATATAATTACGCTTTCGCTATTAATTATAACTTTTGGCATAATGATAAGTGTTTGACCATAACACGCCCTCAAAATACATGTGTGTTAAAAACACGTATATAATTTTATTTTCAGTTGTTATATTATAATAAATTAAAAACCGTGCTGGAAATTGAGTGGTGTGTCTTTGTAATTGATAAATTATTAATAAATTAAATATATTATACCTTGCCTAAAGTTGAGGGTGGTGCCATTCTTCACATTATTAGGTTTAGCATATTCATTTGATCACTTCAATTCAAGAATACAGAATATGTATGGCCAATTGGCCACTTAGGTTGTCATTGTCATCATCACTTAAATTCTCCTTTTCATCATTTGATTCTTCTCCTTAATTAAACATCAGATCATCCACAAGAGACAATTAAGGATGTATATATGTTCCATTAATTTCAGTTCATTGAATTATCTCATTATTTTATACTTTAATTTTTGTTTAACATGTAATTTTGGGCATAACTTGAAGAACAAAATTAAAATTTTAATAAATAGACTGATTTATGTCAAGTTAAAAAGTTACAATATAGAATAACAATTTTAGATGTATCGACATATATATCGACATATATATCCGAAGTCATTTTGCTTGTTTCCAAACACAACTTAAATGAATTGTATAGTATATGTGTAGTATTATATATCACCATTAAAACTTATTAAAGAAAGGAATTCCTTAAAGAAATTAAATGTAAAGAATAACGTACTGAAAATAGATATGACAATTATTCCTTATTATTGAAGTAGACATCCGTATAGTATAACGTCTGCATTGACATCAACATAGCATGCATCAAATTTTATATAGTTTATTTTAAGTATGATTTTCTTGAGTCTGGACTATAGTGTCTATTTACTTTTAATCATCAACTCTTAAAAAAAAAACGGACGATGGATCAAGGGGTTCGCGACTAAAGTGGGGATCACGGACAGTTTCTCGGCAGAGCTGTGGGGCCTAAGGAGGGTTTACGGCTCTGTTTGAGAGAGGGGATGGACAAAATTTGGGTTGAAATGGACTCTGCGGCTGTGGTCACTATCATGAACTGGGAAAATTATGGGGGAGAGGCAGTCGTGACTTTGGTGAAAGACTGTTTCGATCTCATCAGTAAGCTAAACATGGTCAGAATCTCTCATATTAGGAGAGAAGGTAATCAATGTGCGGACTGGCTAGCAAACTTTGGACAGAATATTGGTTGGGGGACCATCGTCCTGGACTCACCTCCAATGGAGTTGAACACCATGCTTGAAGTTGACGCCAGTAATAGGTCGGTTCTAAGAATAAGCTAACGTCATTTGAGGACTCCAAATGCACCCAAAAAAAAATCAACTCTTAAAAAGTGTAATTTTTAGTACTAAATATATGAAATGTACTCGTTCTAAACACTTACAACCCGTTTAGTTTGAATAAAATATTTGAGAAAGAATAAAATTGAAGTTTTATGGGAAAAAATTATTAAGAAAATTGATTTCATCATTGTTTGGTTGGCGGAACATAAATTATTGGAAATATTGATTCCATTATTTGGTTGAGTTTTATTTAGAATTATAAAAGCATCTACATCCATGCATTTTGAGTATGTTTTTGAGGAAGCTTGAGTTATGTGGAGGAGAGAGAAAAAAAAATCCTTACAAACACTTGATTTTTTTTTTTACAGTGAAGTGGCCCCCACCACGACACAACAATAGCGTCATTTGTGACATGTGAGATGCAACACAACGCTCAGCCGTGCACGCGTTAGGCGCGTTAATGACGCTTGTCAGATTTTTTTCATCTTTGTTTGTTTTTTTTTCCCTTTTTTATTCTCTTTCCTTTAATCTTCTCTTTCATAACCACACCTGCAAAAATTTCTAAAAAACTACAACTATTAGAGGATAATAATACTCCTACACAAGCAAGAGAAAATAACATTTTTTTCTCAAATTTTAAGAATTTTACTTCTTTGAAAAATATTTTCCATCAAACCAAACATGCTCTTAAACAGAAATTGACCCTCCCGCTAACTGCGGAGCTATTCCAGCAACAAACACTGGGTCCCCAATCGCCTTTAAAGAAGGCAACTTTTCTTGCAGAATGCGACACAGACGATTGCCTTCTCAAAGGCTGCAAATGGTGACCGTTCGCCGATCGCTAGTGTTTGTTGCTGAAATAGCGACGAAGTTGGTCAAAAGCTCGTTGGAACCTTAGTGACATGTTATTACATGTCACTAATCATTTTTTTGGATTTTAATATACCAAAATAACATATTGATGATGAGTTTAATTACACTTAAAAAAAATTAAGAGTCTAATTAACTTTTTGAGTGAAATTTAAGTTCTATTAACCATTTTTCTCTAACTTTTTGAGTGAAATAAAATTATTGGAAATATTGATTCCATTATTTGGTTGAGTTTCATTTGGAATTATAAGAGCATCTTCATCCATGCATTTTGGGTATGCTTTTTTAAGAAGCTTGAGTTATGTGGATGAGAGAGAAAAAATAAATCCTTGCAAGCACTTGATTTTTTTGCAGTGAAGTGGCCCCCACCACAACACAACAACAACGTCATTTGTGGCATGTGAGACGCAACACAGCGCTCAGCCGTGCACGCGCTGAGCACGTTAATGACGCTTGTCAGATTTTTTTTCATCTTTGTTTGTTTTTTTTTTTCACTTTTTCATTCTCTTTCCTTTAATATTCTCTTCCCTAACCACACCTACAAAAATTTCTAAAAAATTACAACTATTGAGGATAATAATACTCCTACACAAACAAGAG